GAAGTTATGACTGCCAACATAACCTTGACAAAATCTGTCTTTTTAGATATCGTCGTACTTGAGGAGGACACCTACAAATAGTCCACCTTTCAACATTTCCATACCAAGCTTCGGAAATTTGCTATAAATGTTATTAAGACAATATCCTTCCAAGTCCGACCCTTTGACAAATTCCTTTATGATTCCTAAATTGATGTCGTATTTTGAGAAAATAACTTTAACGTAGATGTTCTCTCCCATACACTTCCACTAATCGATAGTACCAATTTCTGGTAATTTGGCGGTATTTTTTCTGAAGTTTTGTGAATCTATTTTTGAATAGTGTTTTTTTAGATTTTCATTGAGTAAAACTGAAAATTGTTTAGACTTTTAGATATTCTAATTTGGCTTTTTTATCAAACCTTAAAATCTTCCTCGTAAATTATCACATACTTTCACTGTAATGTGATGAGTAGAAACGGATAAATATGAGATGATGTGATTTGATTTAATTTTATAGTAATATTTTATATACTGTAACGTTTTTCATATGATAATATGACATGATTTGCGAGAATGTATGATGCGACAACTTAACATACGATACAGTTTGATATGATGTGACCCAATAAGTGAGCATATTTTTTGCTTCTTATGCAAATATCTGGTATTGGATATGTTGTAAAATATTTGAAATATACGAGATGTGATACGACGATATGTCATTATGTTTGATATGATTGAAATAATATGTAGTGCAGAATATTTTGATTGGATGCTAGTTCTCATAGATGTGATGTGATGTAGAAAAAAATTACTGCTTTGTAAATGCGATAAAGCATGATTTGATAGGATTATATTTTGCGATGTGATGTAATGATATATAAATGATGAAAGATACACAATACTACTCCTGTGCGCTATATGAGAGGAGAATTCAGATAACAATTGTTATACGATATAATGTGGTTTGACGTTTCATAAATTGGTGTCATATATTGGTAAGCGATATGATCCGTTGTAAAGTTAATTCTAAACTCAAACATCGTGTTCTTATTTGACAACTTGTTGGAAGTTTATGATTTTAATAAGCATAATGCGATGTGATGTCATGTGACCTCTTCGAATATCATTTGTTATGTGTATTGTGACGTGACCTCATTTTATATGAAGTTATGCATTGAACACGCAGCGCTATTTAAATGTTTCAAATCAATAATATGCATACATATGTGATATGATAAAAAGGCGAATGATTCGCTATTAGTGAATATGTTACAAAAGAGAAAATCATAATGGATTTTATATGTTATTTTAAACAAAAAAATATAAATATGTTACACATAAATTAGAGATGTATTCATAAAAACATTAACAAATATATTGACCAGCTGATTTCTCTYGATCTAGCCTAAACTCGCCACAAGAAGTATAATTATACGATACAAATTGTTATTAGACCAATTTATTAATTCACACGTTCGTTTTTGTTTCTTAAAATGAATTTTTTGTTTTTTTTTTTTTATTAATAGCAAAAGAACATTTATTGACACACTTATCTGCTTGGACCATTTGTTTATTTTGCCGACCTGTTTCTAAAAATGTTTACGYTTACGCTAAATTAATTCATTACTTCCAAAACAATTTCGAATACACGTACTATATTAAAAAAAAGAAAAAAATTAAAAAGTCAAATATAGTATTTATTGAAGTTGAGTGACCGCTGAGTCTTGTTCTAATCTTTATTCTTGTTTTTTTTTTTGGATAGGTGTTATGATCATCTACTGAGTGCTTAGGTGATGCGCGAGTCTCATGCAAATGCGAACAATTCCGATGTCATAAAAACATTATATACGCATATGACTACTCSCCTGTAATATGTGCAATTAATATTGCTGATAACCTATTTTTTTATTCTCTGAATATTGTGCATTAACCAGTTTCTAAACCGAGTGCGAATATTTAGGACACAAGGCTTAATTAACCTTTTACATGAGTTCGCTATTAGTCAAGGTTAGATGTTACATAGGAACACGTATATACATACATATTCAAATGCTCGTTCTTACATACACATTTTTTTAATTTTTTATTTGAATTCTAGAATTATTAAACAAAATTGTGACTGTAAAAACTTTGTAACCTTGAGATTAATTCTCTCCARTTATATCGAGAAAGGGGAAAGATTGGCGTATCCTAAGACGTATGCATTTGTAACTGTTTTTTAATGATATTTTTTGCTRACAACGGGTATTTACATTCTATTCTTTATTGGCTTATGGATTATCGAATAAAATTTTTATTTTATTCAAAATGAAGTTTGCTTTGACTATGAATTATATAATATATTTATAAAAACACATATTTTCAATAAATTTGTTTTTAATTTTATTTGCTAATTTTAACTGCTCACTTTATTCTGAACTCAAAATGTCTACTTCGACTCTTACTGATCTATTCTATGTACCGCTGCTGCTACATATTTGTCCGCTTTGTACATATATTGTACCGCTTTTAATTAAATATATTTAATTCTGAAATACTTTTCACCGAAGATGTTTGAAATTTAGAYGATCGTGTTGCAACTCCGCCGCAAGCGATAATGGCGCCACAGCCTGAGGTGAGTGMATTTTTATATGAGAAATCTCTRTCAGCCGATGGCCTATACGACGAGCCGATTATATTAAGTAAGTATGAAATTATTGCATATACACATACAAGCATTACATATACATATACATATGCAAGTATTTACTGGGMAAATCACATAACCACACTTTATATTTTTATACCCTGAACAGCGTAYGTTAAGTTCGCCACGAAGTTYATAACATTGCGATGGAGCATTATCATCGTGTCAAATCCATGAATTATTTTTCCACAATTCCGGCCATTTTCGACGGCTGTTCTCACGCAAACAACGCCTCAATACGGACAAATAAAACACCTTATTGAAGGTCTGTCCCTAAGAAACAAATTCATGATGCACCAAAGCAGGAAAATATGAGCATCACACAGATTTTTTGGTTTCGGGTCGTTTTTTTCCCCTACATTCCGATGATTGTTGACTTGTTTGCATGTCAAACTCATATACCGATGTCTGATCGGCAGTTATAATGCACTCCATGAATGTGGGAGCGAAATTCGCACAAAGATYGCGAGAGATGTCGAGCTATCATGGCATCTCTCTAACTCCTGTCCGACAATTTTCTAGCACCATATCCTTTACTYTTTTAATATTTTTATTATTTGAAGATGTCGAAGGTCATGTTTTCAACGACCTCTCCACCGTCTTTGAATGCTTTGTATCACTCGCAGCCTTGTGTTTTTGACAAAAYTGAATTACCGTAAACCGTCTGTCAGTCAGTATATAGGCGAACTAGTCCATCAGTCTTTGAGATACTGATCTCAAACTTTTCACACTCCATTTCTTCTCAAGCTGCTCATTTGTCAGAACCGATG